TTTCGCGGTGTTTCCAGTGTCGGAATTGCGCTAAGTGCCAAGACTGAACGCTCGCTTCTCGACTGGATTCCAGTCAGTAGTCGACGGTGTGCCGTACGCCTCAACGGTTCAACGCGGGTCAACAGCTACAGAACGAAGCGTCGATGTCTATTCGTCGTGTCGGTGTATGCATCGACCGATTGCAGTATACCTGAAATCAGGGAAGAATTCTACAAGGACCTTTCTCGATTCCTCCAAAGCGTTTGATCAACGGATATCGTGGTAATCGCCGGATACTTCAATGCTCAAATGGGATCCCTGGACGAATCAGAAAGGCTTCTTGGCGGACCACATGCAATCCCAGCCAACCGGACAGACAACGGAGATCGCCTACTTCAACTCTGTGTCGACCACGGACTGTTCCTGTCAAACACGAACTTCTCGAACAAAAAACCACCGTCTTACATGGAAACCGCCAACCTCCCCACAGCGTTGGACTCAAATCGACCACATCGCTATCAGTTACCGCTGGAGAGGATCGAATCAAGACTGCCGCTCTTACTGGTCAACACCTGTGGATACGGCCCCCGCTTTGCTACGAGCCAAATTCTCCTTACGCCTGGCAAACAACCTTAATAAAGCCACCGAAAACGGATACCTACGATACAACGTCAACGATGGTTGCAAATCAGCCATCGGAGCGGAAGTTTCCGAACGCTTGTCAGTTCAACCACCAGCCGAAGGACTCAATGAACACCGGAGACAAATCAAATATCAATAAAAACAACGTCAGACGCTCACACAGGCTCAAAACATAAACGATGAACTCATCGACCTTGGCTGCCCTGCTGGACGCTCGCAGAATCACTCCTCCCGATGCCGCATATGACACAGCGCGCAAATCCCTCAAATGCCAGCTCAAGAGTCTGAGGAATGACCGCTAGAAGCGGTGGATAGGAAAGTGTAGAGAGATGGAGAAGGCTGCGGCTATTGGTGATAGTCGCAATCCCTTCCGTCCAATTAGGAATAAAGGTCCTAGGAAAATAAGCCTAAGTGAGGTAATTAAGGAATCCGATGGCACACTGTTTCACATTCAGCAAAATCGTTTTGATCGATGGGCTGAACAATTAGAGGCTCAGTTCAACTA